AGAAGGCCTGCGTGCTGTGAAGGGGCCATGAGACCCTATCTCAAGGCCTGACCTGTTGTCAGCAGCTTCCTATCTGTGTGTTTTAGGAACAGACAGCACAGCATGACCCGTCTGGCAAAGTGCCAGATATACAACCCAGCACACATTCATCTATTGATGGGCACTTAGGCTGTTTCCAGATCCTAGCTATGGTGAATTGTGCTGCTTTGAACATATGGGTGCACATATCCATTCTGATTGGTGTTTCTGGTTTCTTGGGATATATTCCTAGAAGTGGGATCACAGGGTCAAATGGGAGTTCCATTGATTTTTTTTAGAGAGAATGAAAGAGAGGTGGGGCGGGGGGGCGGGGGGGGATATGAGAGAGACAGATCCATTCGGTGCCTTCTGCATTTGCCTCAATCAGGCCTGGGATCAAACCTGCAACCTAGGTATGTGCCCTTGGCCAAGAATCAAACCTGCAGCCTTTTGGTGCCTGGGCCAGCGCTCCAACCACTGAACAACACCAGCCAGGGTTATGAATATAATTTTTAAATTTAGCATGTATATGACTTAACCATCTTTTAGTGTATGTTATAATCTATGCTATATATAAATATAAAATAGCTATATTGAACCTTAGTTAATTATATACTTAGATAATTTATATATTTATATATTACATGACAGAGTTTCTAACTCAAAGGAAATTATAAGTGAAAATAGGTTAATAAGTCACATATAAATTTCAGAGATGGTTATATTAAAACAAATTTTTAATATTTTTAAAAAGATAACCTTTATTCATAATATAGCATTTAGATTCCCTCAAAACAAAACCAGCCACTGAACTCTGATGCTTTTGTTGTAGACTGCTTCAATTTTATTTGCTAAACCATCTGTAGTCCATTTCCCTCCTAGTCAATAAAAAATCATATTTAGAAGTAAAACAGTGATTAAAATACTGTATTTGCATTCATAAATTGTTATGGAGGTCAAAACTCAGATGTTGGTATTAAAAAGAAAATATGACAAGGAATATAAGGATATAATTTTTAAATTAAAAATATTTTATTGTCCATATATTAAAACAAACCTTGAGCAAAACCACCTCCAGTGACCATTGATCTTTACAGCGCATAAAATAAGGGAGTAGCTGTATGTACTGTATGCTACATTTAGAATCAAGTCTATTTTTCATCAAATTCAATTATGTTTTTATTATACTCTAGAGAATAAACATAATAGTATAGGGTATATATATTTTTAAAAATAAAATACTGAATAATAACTATAGTGCAGAAGAGCATAAATCATTTATGCACTCATTTATTGCCTTCTAACAGAATAGCTTTTAGAAAATTGTATGTCATGACGAATCAGTTATGCCACACTTACAATGCAGTAGTTGAATTACCTTTGGCATTTTTTTATTTGAACAGTTCTATTTATCTCTCAATGGTGTACATTGAATAAGAAATGTCCATCTCCATGATATGGGTTTTCCCAATACTTTTTAAAGAAAAAAAATCATTAGTAATTCATTTTTAAATATGGTATTTTTATTTCCTCTTTAATTTTTAAAGTTGTATTTCTAACAGTCACCTTGAATTCTAAGTGTGAATTCCTTCCTTTCTCCTTAATGTCATCAGGTTTTATGAGCCACAGGGTCTCTGCTTCCCCAGAGCAGTGACTCACCAGAATGGACCAGGGTGCCCGAAGGTCACTGAACCTTCACCTCCCTTTAAGAGGCTGCCATTCTCTCAGATCGTTTTCACTTTTACATCCTTGGTTCTATTCAAGTCAGAGCTAGGTGGCTCTTAGGTCTGACTGTGGAAATCAGTGGGAGTGAATTATTTACTTTCAACACAGATCAAAATTGGGGAAAAGAGGCTAAATAACTGACCAAAGAGGAATATATGAATGTTGTACCCACAGACTCAGTGAGTTCAGTAACTGAAAAGTGCAAACACAGTGAAATATTTTTTTAACCAAAGGACTTGTATGTATGCATATAAACATAACCAATGGACATAGACTCTAGGGGGGTGAGGGCATGAGCGGGGGATACATGCCCTTGACCGGAATCGAACCTGGGACCTTTCAGTCCGCAGGCCGACGCTCTATCCACTGAGCCAACCCGGTTTCGGCGGAAAAAAATTTTTTTTAAGCTGAATGGACCTTATTAGTTTAACAAGATATTGGGTATAGAAGTTCTCTTGGGCTCACAAGTGACATAGGACAATTTTTCTCTTCTTAATGTGCAGTTGAACAGATAAAATTGTATCATTAAAAGTTTGTGTACCTTCTATTTTCTAATTATAGACAATCTGTGTGAACCTCACAGAACATCAGTTTTGCTGGTCCTGGTACAAGATTAC